ATAAATGGTCAACCAGTTCAAGAAGTAGCATGTAATCAAGAGCCAATGACACTGAAGGAAGCCATCCAGGTTACACTGTAGGCACTGGCAAAGAATAAGGCTCCAGGAATTGGTAGAATACAAATTGAAATCTTTCAACAAAATGATGCACCACTGGAAGCACTCACTTATCTCTGCCAAGAGATCTGAAAGACAGATACCTGGTCATCTGATGGGAAGAGATTCATATTTGTGCCCATTTCAAAGACAGGTGACTCAAGGGAATTTGGAAATCACAGGGCAATACCATTAGTATCGTATGCAGGTAATATTTTGCTAAAGATAATTCAAAATCAGCTGCAACAGTACATTGGCAGAGAACTGCCAGAGATCCAAGCTGGACTCTGTTGAAGACGTGAAATGAGGGATATCATTGCTAATGTCAGATGGCTCTTGACTGAAAGCAGAGAATACCAGAAAGATGTTTACCTGTGCTATATTGACTATGCAAAAGCTTTCGATTGTGTGAATCATGAAAAACATTGCAGATAATGAGTATTCCAGAACACTCAATTGTGCTCATGAGGAACCTATACATAGACCAAGAGGCAGACATTCTAATATAACAAGGGAACCCTGAATGGTTTAAAATTAGGAAAGGCGTGTGCCAGAATTGTATTTTTTCACCACACTAATTTACTCTGTATGCTGAGCTACTAATCCATGAAGCTGGATTGTATGAAGAAGAACATGGCATCAGGATAAGAAAAAGATTCATTAACAAACTGTGATATGCAGATGATGCAACTTTGCTTGCTGAAAAGGAAGAGGACTTAAAATACTGATGGAGATCAAAGACCATAGCCTTTGGTATGGGTTTCACCTCATTGCCTAGAAAATAAAAATCCTTACCACTGGATCAATAAATAACATCTATATAAATGGTACAAAGATTGAAGTTGTCAATGATTTCACTTTGCTCAGATCCACCATCAACACCGATGGAAGCAACAGTCAAGAAATCAAATGATGTATCTCTCTGCTTTAAGCCAAGATCCATTGGACATCCGCAATGATATCCCTTGTTCCATGGCCTCTTCTGAATCCGGCTTGAACCTCTGGAAGTTCTCTATCAATGTATGCTCGCAGCTGTTTCTGCATTACTTTGAGCAAAACTTCACTCGCATGATATATCAAAGAGATTGTCCGACAATTTCCACATTCTGTTGGGTCACCTCTCTTTGGAACGGGCACAAATATGGCTCTCTTCCAATCAATCGGCCAGATAGTTGTCTTTCAAATTTCTTGGCAGAGATGAGTGAGTGCCTGATGTGCACTCACAAATGATACAACCTTGTATCATCTGTGAGTTGTACCAACTCACAGATGATGCAGATTATACAATCTTGCTTGCTGAAAGTGAAGAGGATTTAAAACATTTATTGATGAAGATCAAAGAGCACAGCCTTCGGCATGGATTACATCTTAATGTAAAGAAAACAAAAATCCTCACTACTGGACCAATAAACAACATTCTTATCAACGGAGAAAAGACTGAAGTTGTCAAGGACTTCATTCTTCTTGGATCAACTATCAACACTCACGGAAGCAGCAGTCAAGAAATTAAACGATGTATTACATTAGGCAAA